GTATCAGAGTGTTCCATCTCATTTCCCTTTGGGGTTGCTGTAGGTGATCTGGAAGTCTGGTTTTGAGACTTATTTACATGTCTTCTCATTTCGACTGGGGGGTGGGAGGGTGCTGTTGGCATCCATTTGGCTCACCCTCCTCTGAGCTGGGAGAGGTGGGACAAGGGCCAGGAGCAGCGGGAGGGATGGTGGCCCAGAAGTCCCTTTCTCTGGGCCAGGACAGATGGTGGCCGGGAAGCCCCTTCCTCTGGGTTGGGAGCATTGGGCTGGATGATGGCCCAGAAGCCCCTTCCTCTGGATCAGGAGCAGTGGTAAGGCGGCTCAGAAGCCCCTACCTCTGGGCTAGGAGGGGCAGGACCCACATAAAACAAATGTTAACCATAGGAGGGCAGATGGGAAGAGGGGAGGGTGTCAAAAAGTGACTCACTACTCAGTAGTCAGCATGAGTCTCTCTAGGCACCTTACCTTATTTATCTTTACAACTCATTACATAGATACTACCTCTGCTTTAAGTATTCATTAATTTAAAGTATATAGGGGTTTAAATGGACTAAAGTTGATCCATTTTAATTTTGACACCAACTATACAGACTAGAATTTAGGGGTATGGGCTTTGGGCTGAAAATACTCCCTGGGTTTTTTTTAATTAACATTCCTGCAACCCCACCCCACTGTGGGTTAAAAACTATGCCTTTATACCTTACGGTCTCATAGTCAAGTAACATGAAACTCAAAACATCTCTGGGTCACAAGGTGATGAGGATGAAATAAAACTGCAATGACCTCTTGAGTAAATAAAACGAAGTTAACCAAAAGGAATTCTTACCTTGATATTGTTTTCTTTTTGAAAAAATAAACAGACAAGTAAAAGTCCCGTACTGCAGCAACATATTCTCCCTGGTGTTTCAAAAAGAAGGTAACAAAATAGTCAATACTCTTTAGGAGTATATTAATATAAAATGATATATTATATTTTCGTCGCACCTTTTAAAACAAGATGAGCTTAAGTCTTAAATTCTAAAATTAGACTCTAGCTTTAAGTACAATTTATGTTTCTTTTCCATTAAGGCATAATTTACAAACAATAAAATGCAACATTCCACCTGTGTGTATGTCCATATAATAAGCTCTGGCATGGTCAAGTTGCAAGGTCTAGAACATTTCTTCCTGGGCCCCAGGGATGTTGCTTTGTGCTTCCTCAGTCGTCCCTCTAGGTCCCCTACCACCAGCAACCATTCATCTCTATCATCTTAGATCATTTCCTGCCTGTTTGTGTTTGGGCTCTTGCTCAACATCATCTTTTCAAGCTTCATCCACTCTTGTAAGTAAGCATCATCAGTTCTTTTTCATTGCTGAGTACCATCCACATTCCAATGAACAAATACACATCACAATTTATTTATTTGCTGGTTGATGAATATTTGGGTCATCTATCTGTGTTTTGGAGCTATTATGAATAGTAATCATTCCTGTGTATATCATTTTGTGGTCATATCTTCATTTTTCTACCTAGGAATGGAATGGTGGTGTAGAGCTTTTTAATTTCATCCCATAATTAGCAGTTCTAGTGGATGTGAAGTGGCATCTTACTGTGCTTTTAATTCAATGACTATTGACACTGAAGAGTGAAGATATTAACAGTGTTAAACGTTTACCCTGAAAACTTTCCAGAAGAATGACAAAATAATGGCTACGGAAACATGCCACTACAATGATTCGAGGTTCTTTTGATGGTATTTAATTTCAAATAATAAAGTACTAGCAGAGGATGGCTGTATAAATCATGGTATGAACACACATCTCTAGCAATCATTTTAGTACATATTCAAATTGCAATGTTAAATGGAAAAAAAAGGATAAAAAGAGTTTTGACTCTAGTCCCTTTTGGGAAAAGTTACTTTATATATATTAAAGTCTAGAAAAGGAATCCTTAAATATTATCACTACAGAGATTATAGATTTTGTTTCCTTACTATATTTTTCTGTAATATCCAAATTTTTATAATGGGCATGTTAATTATGGATAGAGAAGCCATATTTTCCAACAGTATACAGTCTAAAATGAAACCATCTGAGCAGCTTTTATACGGGACAGGCAAAGAAATGCAGTACAATCATCAAAAACTGTTATTTTGGGGAAAATTGGAGGGTTTACAAGGCCAAAAGGATAGAACACACAAAGTAACGATGGCTCTACAAAAACCTCTACCATAAACAGGTACTAAAGCAATGAGAACAGACTTCTTACTTTCTAGCAAACTATGCTAATTCAATAAATAAGGCAATATAAAACCATTATACCATACAGTGGTTAAAGGAGAGACTGGAGGAAAGAGATTTTTTTGTATAAAATAAAAACCCAACAAAGCAAATTTACCTCACGTCCAAAGGCAATGCACTTGGGAGACTGGTTTATGTAATCCAAAACAAAAGACAGCTCCTTAGCTTCTATTTCCTGGCTTGGGGATTTTGGTAGTTTCACCAAAACCAGCTGAAATACATCTGGCCAAAGGAAGCCATATTATTAGAAAGCTTCTCTAAAGAAAGTGGACACAGGCATTTATCATATGGAACTTTTAAAATGAGTACTCTAGAATGTCAAAATTGTAATCTTGGGCTATTGAACAAAATGTACCTTAAAGCTGGACTGTGAATATACACGTTTTAAATGGAAGTCTAATTCTACAACTCCTACCTGAGTACAAGCCCCATAAAAAAGGAAATAAGCTGAGGTTTAACATGGACACGAACTATAAATATTGAATGGGGAACTGGGCGGCCAAAACAATGAGCCACCTCAGAGGGTTTTCAGAAATGTCTGGGCTCAGCGTAACATTCACAGGGTAAGTCTCCTTTCCTGTGACACCGATGTGCTCTTCTCTTTACAGTCTTTTCAAAAAATTCCTCCCTAAGACTTTTTTTCACTCAAGAGTAAAACTAACCTACAAGGAAATAAATAATCCATTCTGCCTTTGCTCACCCTAGAAGAGCCTTCCTATTACTCTGTGAATATGTCATGGATGCTCCAACTACACAGTTTACTCTTCTCCCTCCAGGGACCTCCCCTGACTACTTATTTACTAAGTATTTCTCCCATACTGGCCATTCCCCTCCCAACCTATTGCTCTCCACACCTTTTATCTTACTGATTGCTAAGGATCTGGTCAGCTTAGTGCTGGGACCTAGGGTCTACTTTGTTCTGTGCATCGAAAATATTAGTTATGAGGTGCTCAATTAGCTGCTGAATGATGGTACTATACAGTCAAGAAAGAAGCCATAAAAGACAATACATAAACAAAAGATTCACTTGTTTTTAAACCACAATAGTGTTTTTCAGATATACAATTTCCTGCCAGGGACTCTGCAGCTGCGGAGCACACACAACACGAGTGAAGTTGGATGGTGGTGCTGTAAGCTGGCAGCTGGCACAAGAGATTCTCAAGCCCTGAGTGCATTTTTTATGTAAACAGCCAGACTTTCACATGCTGGGTGCCCACAAGGTGCCAGGTACTAGACAGTAATTCTAGATCCTGCTGTGGATCCAGGTCAGGTTATGACCAAGATCTTTACTTTAGATCAGTAGTTTTTATTCTGCTTGCAATTGGCCCCAGCTGGGGAATTTTCAAGCAAACAATCAGATCTCACCACACAGAATCTTATTATCTAGGTTGCTCCGGTGCTTCTTATGCCCCGCTGCAGTTAAGAATTGCTGGTCTCATGGGTATGGATGACAAGTTGTGTTACAGTGTTGGCAACTACCTTTCAACAGTCATGAGGTGATTCAAAGGTGGTTACCAAACCCCCAATGATGAGAATCAGCTGGGAAGGTATTATAATACAGATTCCTAAACTATATCCCAGACCTAGTTACCTGTGAGAGACTGCAAATTTGAGCTTTTAGTAACCATGTAGACTGGTATTTAGAACCCACATATTTATTATGTACAAAACAACTTAAGTTGGAAAAGAATGGTATCTTTGAAAATACTCATCTGGGAAGGTCATTTAACTGTTTTAAGGATATTACTATTTTCAGGACATTTTGTGAATGTCCTTTAGAGGTGGCTTAGGAGCCATATAAGAAACCTAAACTTACTGTTTTTTATTCTTTCACACCACATTCTCAATAGATACAGTATCACTCATTATCAGACTCGGTAATGAATGAATTTTAAATAAAAAAATAGATTTAGCTTTTACAGTTTTGACAATTCATAGGTTACTTAAAAGTCCTTGAGATATATATATATATATAAAATTTATAAATATTTTAGCAAAAACCTCCAAAATAAGTAAAAATATTGTAGGATTCACTCAGCTAAGAAACTGCAAACAGGATGAGCTGACTGCACAGTACTCATTTCAAAGCTGCTTTGCACTTTAATTCTGAACACAGCTGTATTTTACGGAGGGCCCCACAGGGTGCAATGGCCTTCTTGAATTCTGGGTTTAGAAATTTTCTTTGGCTATGTTTCATGTCAGTATCTGTTGTACCACATTATTTGATAAAAGATGCTTATTTATAACCACTGACAATTTTCCAGGAATTCCTGAAATGCTGATACATGGCAGTTTCAATAGAACCGTATTTCAATAATAGTAAAAATACAGTAACTCAGTTACACTACTGATTCTTAATAGCAAACTATTTTCTATACCATTTCCTATAATGACTTAGTATCAACAAACTGGCGTATAGTAACAGTAAAAGAATGGTGACGCTTAAGCATGACACACTTACAGTTCAGTAGAAAGACAAATTCTAGTCCTTTACAATGCGGCTTTAAAATCTGAGCTCTGATGTCTATTAGTATAAGTGTAAACAATCACTCTCACTGCATATTTCGGAACTGATAGCCTCTATGAATAAATATGATAATAAAAGCAATGTAAACTCCAACTCCAAAAACTGTTAGCTTCAGGTTAAAATCAAAATATTAAGTTATGAGCAATTGTAAAATGTGAAGAGCTATTCTATGTTATATAAGAACAAAATAAATGCAGTCTACTATACCTGGTTCTTCTTTGTTTATTGTGACAAAGACAGAATCCTCAGCACGGGTGAGAGTAAAGAGGGCATGAAGTTTATGTCCAACAAGGAAAGTCTGAAAGATAAAAAGCACCATGTTATTCATCATTATCTGCTTCCACTCATTAGAATATTAATTCCACAGGGCAGGGATTTTTTTAATTGTTTTGCTTGATGCTGTGTTCCTAACATTAGAAGAGTATCCGGTCTACAGAGAACAATCAACATGCATTTGGGAACAATCTTTAAAGTTTGGTACATATAACTCTACCTGACTTTTATAGTATTCTACTGAATGGAATGTATCATAATTTTAAGTGATATCAAGTTTATACTTAATTTTTTCTACCATAAACAATGTTTTATGGTCTACATATACATACCTACCTACCTATCTACCTACCTACCTACCTACCTACCTACCTTCCTTCCTTCCTTCCTTCCTTACCGGGGATTGAACTCTGGACCTTGTGCTTGTGAGGCAGGTGCCGGAACCACTGAGCTAAATCCCCGGCCCTACACACCATTATTTAAATGAGAGATTCTAAGAGGATGCTTGCTGGAAAGAAAGGTATTTATTTATATTCAGTTATACCTTCATTGATTATGTACAAAAATGTCCATTTTTCTACACTTTATTTACTATTAGAGTTTTTTCCAATGTGCAATTTGGCTAACCTGGTAAGAGAAAAATGCTATGCCATTTGTTTTAATTTACACCATTCAAATTATTAATGAGGTTAATCATCTCTTCAAATTTACTGGACTTTTGTATTTCTTTTTCCGTGATTTTTATACATTGCTACCCAATGCCTACTTATTTCTTTTGGGCTATCAGTTTTTCTTTATTAGTTTTCAGGAATATTTTTGTGTATTAAGGATAATACCTTTAGTAAACATTTCCTCCCAGTGTTTTTATTTATATTTTTATGTTGTAACATTTTTATATAGTTAAATACATAATTTTTTTAATGGTGTGTGAATTTCATGACTTTTCAGGAAGTCTCATCAAAGATGGAAGAAAACAGTATCTGTCATTACGTTATCTTAGCTTTTTACAAAGGAAACCTTAAGATCAAGCAACATACCTTTATCAAAATGCCATCCAGATAGTCCCACAATTTAATTGTGCCATCAAAGGAACAAGAATACAGCTGAAAGGGTAAAAACAGTTCAAAACTCATCAAAAACTGAATACATTAAGATAATGAGTAAGTGCTGATCAAAAAGTATTTTCTGTTCATTAATTCATTGCTAGTTTTAAAGGGTAGAGTTTATGCAGGTTGAACATTCCTAACCTAAAAAACTGAAATCTGAAACTTTGTGAGCATCAAGAAGATTTTCAAAAAGTTCCAGACTTTGGAGTATTTTGGATTTCAGGTTTTCAAACTAGTGTTCAACCAACAAAGGTGATGCAAATATTCCAACATTCAAAAAATGCAAAATCTGAAATACTTGTGGCTCCATCAAGTCAGTCTCAACTTGTATTGTTTCTGTAAAAGACAATCAATCACATTACATCCCTCTGGAGGAAGCAAATCCACGCATTTCAAGTTTTCACTAAAACCAAGGGGAAAAAGTCAACCTGTCAGGAGGGACACGATAAGGTGAGCTATGGGGGCACTCAGGAATCTGCTTGTTTCTCCCAGAGCTTGGCCCCTTTTTATTAGCTGTACTGCTTTTGTCTTACATGAGCTTTAAAGTGCTTCTCAAATGATCCCTGAATGTTCTGTTAAAAAAAAAACAACCCAACCCATCAAGGACCAGTACTTTCATAAAATACAACAGAGACCATCGTGCGTTCAGGTGCCGGGGCAATGTCCAGGCACCATACAGCTCAGTACATGCAGTCCCTGTACCCACCGGCAGGACACTGGTCTGTGAGCCATGTTAGCACCAGAGGCCTAAGCAACACTGTGGGTTTATTTTTGGCACAGTGGACTCAGTTTTACTAAGTTTACATTAGATTTTCGTTTTTATTGTTGCTTATTTGGCTTATAAACAACTAAGTTTCTTTTTTAAAGGAAAGTGGTAATTTTAGGATTTCCATGAACACTGGAATTCACAGTAAAATGTTGGAGTAAGACAAATTATCTATTCAAGTAAAAGAATTATATTAAATAGAAAATACACATCATTCACTACATGTAAATCATAAACATGGATTCATAAACAAGCCAAATGTATTCACTGTCAAAATAATAGTTCAGGGCTGGGGATTTAGCTGGGTGGATCAGCCATCTGCCTCGCAAGTGCAAGGTCCCGAGCTTGATCCCCAGTACCAAATAAAAAAAAAAAAGTTCATATACAAGTACTGTGACTCATTCGTCCATAGAAACTCTGTCTTTCAAGGTGATCCAAACTTGACAAAATGGTCTTTCTTTAATTTTTCTAACTTTCAGTCACCTGAAACAGAGAACCTTTATGTAATGTGTATTTGGCTTTTGTTTGGGCATAAAACAGTAATGCACATTTTGCAAATTTCAATTATAATCAAAGCATTTTTCTGCTATTAAAATGTTCAAATAGCCGGGGATTTAGCTCAGTGGTTCTGCTGCCTGCCTCAAAAGTGCAAGGTCCTAAGTTTGATCCCTGGTACCAAAAAAAAAAACAAAACCCAAAAACGTTCAAATGACATATAACAATAAATTTCTGTCAAGCCCTTATAGGACAGGATAAAAAGACTACCTGGACCTTGCAAACAGTTCCTTAACTTTGATTTCTAAAAGCAGCTTAATTTTGGTAAGAAATCAGGGTTACTTTATGCGCTGCTTCTTCTGTGATAAAGGTTACGGAACAGCAATGCAAATCTATTTTAAATCAATAGTAACTTCCAGTTGGTGTGGTGAGTCCAGAAGAAGAGAACTTGTTAAGAGCAAAATATTGTTGAGGTAAGTTTTAGGAATAGATACACCTTCAGATATTTACAATGTCAATGCTGCAAAGGGATCCGAGAAGATCTGCAATTACAAAATCATTTAACTGCGCTTTTTAACTTCAGAAATTCATAGCGCCAAGAACACCCTTCTCCAGGGACTCCCATGAAGCGTTCTAGGGAACCAACGGCTTACTTTCAAAACTAAACACAGCTGAAAAATACCAAGTACGAAAACCAGCTGATCCTCCCCTCACCCTGACCTGTGAAGTCTCCTAAGCCAAATCTAACTCAACTTTTTCCTTTTGTCAAGCAGGCCAATGTTAAAGTATTCAACTACAAAGTGTCTGGCACCTGCAGATGGTTGCTGGGGTTGAGCTGGATCCCGCTCACCAGGTCTCTGTGTCCCTGCAGGATGTGCACACACTCTTCTGTGGCTGTGCTATAAACTTTTACAAAGTCCCCGGAGACGCAGAAGACATACCTGGGAAAAAGGAAAGAAAAAATAAAGTTCTCTGTAGCTGGCATAACCTTTTTATGGTCCATTACAAAAATAGTAACAGGCAACAGAGGTTTCTTTCAAAATAGTTTAAGGACTGTACTTCAAACTTGCGGGGACATCTATGACTGATTCATTCGCTAACTCGAAGAGAGCACGAGGCCAATGTCACATCTCTTGCTGTTTATAGACACGGGCTATGCAGAACCACCCTGCACAGTCTAATCAAGTGCCTGCTCACTAAACAGATGGAGACTATGTTATTAATTTACTATTAACTATGACTATCAATAGTTCTGCTATCAGCAATGTGTTCTCATGTCCCCAAACTCCATGGTTCATTGAAGACAACAGCTTACAAATGCTAAATCAAAGGGTCTGCTCTGATTGGTGAAGTCCAGGCCTCTCTGGAACAAAATGTTTACATCAGTTTTTTTCCTTTATTGCTGAAATATTGGTTTTGTTTTGATCTTTCTAGATTTGGGGATTTCTCTCATGCAGCAGAGGCTACTAAATTACTAAAAGGAATTAAATTGAAATACTTGATTATTTTCATAACAGATATTACTAAAGGACAAAGTTTACAAACATACGTTTTTTAGTATCTTCCAAATAAAAACTGCGTGCCCTATGCCTATTGTATCTGACACTCTTCTCATACTGCCTGGGCATCCTGTGCTTTGTAGCTTCTTCAGTGTGAGAAAATCCCCATTATACTGCAGCCCACCAATGAGCTTACGTATCATTTCCTCAGCAACATTCTCCAGCCTCCTCAGTTTGAAATGATCCCTCCTTTTTACAAGCCCCTACAGTTATTAAGCATCTACTGTCGTGTTTCCTTTTCTTGACTAGACTAAGTTCCTTGAGGTAGCATCAGTATTTGAAGTATCTTTGTTTTTGTCACCTCAGCTTGTTATACACACAGCTGACAAAGACTGAAAAATGAACTATGGGGTTCAGCAAATGAAATGGACAGCCGTCGGTGTAGTAAGGTGTAGAACAGTACACTAGAAGAGGAAACTGGATAGGGAGATATGGGTCTGAAGAAGCAAGTCTGACAGCTTTGTTAAGGTTCAGCTTCTTCCTGTGACGAAGGTCAATAAAGCCCCCTTGTAAAGAGGCGAGCGCAAGCCCATCCCACCAGGCACACATAGTCAACAATTATCTGTCATACACTCATGTGCAGTACTTCTTGTACAGAGATACAATCTCTATTCTTTTAAAAAGAAATTTTTAAAAACAAGTATCACTCTATCCTTAAGTGACCTGAAAACCTATTCTTACAATATGTCACTTCTATATGATGCAATGTAGCAACGATAGATGACGAACATTGAGACATTAAATGCATTTTGTACAGACTTTATATACCAGGCATTTGATTCTTCCAAGAACCCTGTGACAGGCAGACATTAAATATCCCCATTTTACAGAAGAAACTAAGGCAGAGTAAGAAGTTTGGAAAGAATCAGGTTTGGAACCCTGAGAATAGCTTGGTTTCTCGCTATACTGTACTCCTGCGGGGACACCAGTCCGAGCCGTTTCACCCCCCACAGAATCTAACATCAGTTTTCATGTAAAGCTTCAACACAGTTGCCAATGTGCCTTTTCCGGGGCGCGTGTGCATCTGGGACGCGGGAGGCCCCTCCATCGAGCCCAGCCTGAGCATCCCGGGACAGGAGGGGCTCGCTCCTCACAGGCGCCTGCGGGCTCCCGGACACCCTGAGGTCAGGGGCACACGCGCCTCCTCCGCAGAGCCCGGGTTTCGGCGCGCCTGACAGTTCTTTCCTCGGCCCTCCAGGAACTCAAGTCCCTCAGCCCCGCCAACCACACGCGGAGCCCCCATACTTAGAGTCGGCAGAGAATACTGCTCTTCTGAAGTTCAACTCGCTGCCGCCACAATGAACCACGCGGACACTCTCCTCCTCCACCATCTTCGAGCGGACGCAGGAGCAACCCACCGCTGGCCACGCCCCAGCTTCCGGCATGGAGCTGGGTCACAGGGCGCGTTTCCCAGCCCACAGGACACACCCACCGGCCCCTCTAGGCTTGAGACTCGATGGCAAGGCCCCGCGCCTTCGCCGCCATCTTTTGTTTGGGCAACATCAAATTAAGACACTTATAAGAACGGTAAAAGCAAAACAGATCTGGAGGCAGTTTGCATTAGATATCTTTACACAATTACAGTATTTAATACAGGGAGATTTCTTTTCGGCCTTGCCAATCTGACTGTATAGCTTCTGGCAGAAGCGAAAGTTGGCTCACGTTGTATCACTTGAGCTCAAGCCGTACCACCCGGGGCTTTTCCTGTCAGGTAATCACGGTTCCGGCCTCGGGAGATGACGCAAGTATCCGGCGTCAGTTGGATGTTTGGGTGGGAAGAATGGCTCTACTTTCTGCACCGCTCTTTAATCCTCTTTTAGCTGTCGCTTTGATTTCTGGAAGCGTCGTATACATTCCCACAGAATCTCCACAGGCCCAAGGGTCTTGCCGTTTTCTTTGGAATTTTGGCTCCTACTCTGGGATCTGTGCATCCTTCCTGGAATAGCTGATCCCTGCGTTCACCAGGCCTCTATAAAGTTGTGCACCACATTTTTGTGGCCCCTCTGTGTTAGCGGATGTCTATCGCTATTCAGCCATTCATCTGTTGATACTTACATTTGTTCTGACTCTGGACCACTCCTAAGGAGAAAGAGGCACTGCTAGTTTAACTTTAACAGGGACGGATAGAAGCCTTGCACTTGATATTCGACGTGTTGAAATTTACCACAAAATTAAGTCACAAGCACACATACGTTTATCAGCCGAGGCAAAATATATTAAAAGGTCAACACATGCCCGCAGGTATCCACTGCAAAAAACGGAAAATTTTCCCTTTTGTTAGGAGTCCAATTTATGGGAAATACTCAAGGTATTATTATTTTGGGAGCCATAGCTAGATAGGGAGACAGTATTATTTTGGTTTATTTCAAGCTGCAGAGATCTTCCCCGAACCTGTGACTGTGATGTACTTTGTCTCGAAGGAGGGTGAAGTGTCATTTCAGGTTCTAGAGCTTAATCTTTTTTTGCCCAGTCCTTTTAAACCTTCTTGGATGCTTTGAAATGTGATGTATGCTTTTTATTCCTGAGCCAAGTTACAAAGAATTCTAGTCAAATAAATTTGGACTTATATTTAATAGATCATGTGGTGTAATAGATCAGGAGCCTTATTACATATTTTCGACCAATGTTTTTATGGCCACTGTGTTGTTTTGAAGGTTTCTTGAATTTTGTTTCAGGTAAGGGAACAGGAGCTTTTATTTTGTTTTAGGTTGTTAGCACTGTGGTATTAGTAACTGGTTTGTATGTTGATGAATCAAATATAATGAACAAGAAGTTATTACCATACAAGTATATTTCTGCCTAGGGTTTTAGTGCTATTAAAATTAGTTAAATAGTTAAAATTAGTTAAATATCTTATATTTTTGAGCTGAAATGACTGTTACATTTGGAAAAAATAACAGAAACGGCCTATGTTTTCTATATCATGCTGAGACCTATTCAGTTATTTATTACATTTTAATAAACATAATAGATTTTTTCAGCATGTGCAGAGCTGACTTGATTTTTCTGTTCATTAGTGTTATGTACTGATTCATACAGCATGACTAATCAACAAGACTTAGTTATTATTAAATTATATTTTCTTCCCTTTATGACTTATGAAAGTGACTATATTGCTGCTCAGAGGTAAAACTTGGAAGACAGACTCATAACTTCTGTAGAGTAAAATATATAAATTAATTCCCAAATGGTAACAGAAAACTTTATCATATAAATGCATGTTAGGTCACAGGAGAAATGATAATATCTTAGGACTATACATTCTTCCAACTAATATCTTTTAAGGGCTGTAGGGTTCTAGATATTCTAGGCTCAGTGATGAAGTAAAGAAGGTCTCAGTTTTTGTAGAAACTGCATTGTAGTCCTGCAAGAGAAGATAAAAATGAATATGAAAATTAGTAGTAAACTTAAGGAGATATGAAATACTGTCTTGGAAAGGGATATTGTAACCCTAAGTTAAGTAACTATCCTGGTGTTGGCAACATATTTCTATAAAAGGCCAGACAGGAAATATTTTACGCTGTGTGGGTTACATGCAGCCTCTGTGGTACATTTTATAACCTTTTAAAAATGGTAAAATATGGGCTGGGGATTTAGCTCAGTGGTTCCGCCCTCTGCTGTGCAAGTGCAAGGACCGGAGTTTGATCCTCGGTACCAAAAAAAACAAAAAAAACAAAATGGCAAAATCTGTTCTTGCCTTGAGGTTGCAGTACAAAATAGTCTGGTAAGACCAAGGACTGTATTTCAGTTGGAAAGTGTCATTGCAAAAGAGAATTTTTGTTGTAAGTTGGAATTTTTTTCTCAGATTATCAAAGTGATGTGTCAATTTAAAAATTCTAATTAAACATTTGTTTTAGTCAACTTTGATCACTGGTTAAAATACCTGGCACATGGTACTTAAGAAGTAAAGTTTATTTTGGCCCATGGTTCTTGAAGTTATACCAGTTGTATCCCTCAAGAGATATTCTAGGAATTTGTACCAATTTATTGAATTCTTGCTACAAACAGTTGTGACTATAATGGAACCACCTAAGATATTTTGGAAAATAATGAAACCTACTTCTACCACAAGAGATTCTTATGTTTGTATGTTCACCTGGGCATCAAGTTTTCTGTATTTTTAAAATTGTCATAAGAACAACATACATTTTACTATTAGTGACAGTACACTCACAGTATCATGCAGAAACCATCTCTATTTAGTTTCAGAACATTTTTATTACCCTAAAGAAAAATTCTGTGCCCATTAGTCAATCACTATTTCCTTCATTGCAAGTATATAGAAACATGTGTGTGTGTGTGTGCTCATCTTGTTTCTTATAGCTTTTCTAAGTCCATTTATTAGCTTGGATTGTGTGCACGTGTGTTTCTTAGGATTTTTATCTATAAGATCGTGTCCTCTATGAGTAGAGATGGTTTTGTTTCTCTTCCTTTTGAATCCTTTGTATTTCTTTTTCTTTCCCATGTAATTGTTCTGGCCAGAACTTCCAGCACAATACTGAATAGCAGTGGAGAAAGTGAGCATCATTTATTTACCTGTTCATGATCTTGGTGGAAATTTTCAATCTGCCATCATTGATTATGATGTTAGCTACAGGAATTTCATAAATCCCCCTTATCCTGTTGAGGAAGTTCCTTTCTATTTCTAGTTTACTGAGTGTTTTGATCCTAAGGGATGTTGGATTTTGTCAAATAACTTTTTTGTATCAATTGAGATTATTGGAATTTTTCCATCTCTCTGTTAATGGGTTATATTATTGGTTTTCATATTTTTAACCACCTTTGCACTGATGGAATAAATGTGCTTACATATAATCCTTTTAATATGCTTTTGAGTTCAGTTTGCTAGGATGTTGTTGAGGACTTTTGTAAATCTATCATAGGAAATATTAGGCTATCATTTTCTTGTGTTTTCTTCATATGGCTTCAGTATCAGGGAAATCCTGGCTTCATAGAATGAGTTAATAGTTTCCCTGCTCTTCTATTTTTTGGGGGGATTGAGAAGGACTGATATTATTTCTTCATGTATGAATTCAGTGGAGTTCACCAGTGAAACCATCTAGTTCTGGACTTTGGTTGTTGCTGTTGGGAGGTTTATAAGTCCTGGTCTGATCTCTTTACTTATTATAGGTGTGCTAAGATAGTCTGCTTTTTTAGTCAGTTTGGGTAATTTGTATATGTACAGGAATATGTCCATTTAAATTAGTTTATCTAATGTGAAAGAGGTAATCTTAGATCTTTCAACCCCAGTCAAGCCTAGCTAAAACCACACTGAGCACATCTGTTGAGATACTCTGCACATATTACTGAGCCATAGAATTATAAATAAAATAATGGTTATTGCTTTAAGCCACTGAGTTTTATGGCAATTTGTTATGCTGCATTAAGCAGCAGAATCAGTAATTTAAATTAAAATTTCAAAAGAAAGTATATTTGGAGATTATATTTCTTTTTCAGTGCTATGTAATGTAATGGTATATTTACAGTGTATCTATTGATGAATTAAAATACATGAAACGTTATTTCAATTACTTTAGAAGTCATTTAAGGGTCAGAAAGATAGAACACATTGGCTTGTGAGTAAAAACATTTTTACATTAAGGTCTCTAATAGAAAAAGTGTACCACATACAAGTATGTGTGGGTTATGTAAGAAAAGATGGAAACATGAGGATAGGATAAAAAAGAAATGCTAGAAATTAATGGAACAATTGTAGAAATTGACAGTTCCTTTGGTTGGCCCATTAGTAGACTGATCACTGCTGTGGAAAAAATCTGTGACCTTGCAGAAATATCTGTACAGATTCTAAAACTGAAATGCAGATAGAAAACAGAATGAAAAAGAGTGAACAAAATATCCAGTAACTGTGAGGCAATTACAGAAATGCAACACGTGAGTAATGGGAATACCAGAAGGAGAAGAAAAGAAAGGAACAGGAGAAATATTTGTAATAATGATTGAGAATTTTCCACAGTTAGAGGTACACATCCAATCACAGATGCTAGAAGTTTAGAGAACACCAAGATGAATAAGTTACATTCGCCAAGTAGTATCAAATTTAAAAAAACAAACACAAAGAAAATCTTGGAAGAAGCTGTGTGTGTGTGTGTTTCTGTCTTACTGTTATTTTCTACAGAAAAACAACGATAAAAATTACATTTTCCTCAAACCTTATAAATAAGAAGAGAGTCAAGTGAAATATTTAAACTGTTAAAAGAAAAACCAGCTACTAGGAATTCTGTATCTAGTGAAATTATCTTTCAAAACTAAAGACTTTAAATGGGATTTTTCAAACAAGCAAAAATTGAAGGAATTTTTATCCAGTAGACTCACCTTGCATGTGTCACTTAAAAATACATTTTAATTTAAAAAGTTCTTCAGAAAAAAAGATGATATAGGTTAGGAACTTGGATCTATATAAAAAAATGGAAGAGTTTCAGGGAAATTATTTCCTTTCTCTTGTTCTTAATTGACCAAACATTATAGCTGATCTAAAAAATAACTCTTCTAAGTAACAACCACAACAATTTTTGATTATTGGGTGGTTCTAGCTTGTAGATAAATTAAGTGACAACAGTGTTATAAAGTGTGGGAGGGAGAAATTGAAAATACTCTATTATGAAATACTTTTCTCTCCATGGAATGGTAGTGTTACTTGACAGTGGAAGTAGATAGTTTTAAATATATATTGCAATCCCAAGGGTAACCATGAAAAGGTAAAAAATAATAATGAATATGGAATATTATAATGCTTATTTAAAAGAAGAGAAAGCAGAAAATGAGTGGCAGACAAGAAACAAAGAACAAGGGAAAAGAATATAAACATTAGATATTAATCTAACTTTTTATCAGAAATCATTAATTTATGAGAAGAGAATATCAGAGAGGATCTATGTTTTCTATAAGAAGCCCATTTTAAACACAAAGGTAAAACTCTTCTCTACATATGAAACAAGTTTTTTGAAGGTTCTTTGGAATTGCATTATAGGATAATTTAGTATCTTGCTTAAATTTCTGTTCATTAATTTATATCTACCAAATTACAAAAGCAAATTTGGAGAAAAAAATAGAGGTATAAAGGGAGAAAGACACAACATGCTACCACTAATCAAAAGAAAGTTTGAGTAGTTATTTTAATTTCAAACAAGTAGATTTCAGAGCAAGAAAAATTTAGCAGGACCAATTCAGATTACCTTCAATAAGAGTAGGGGTGAGGGACAGGTAAGGAGGGTAGGGGGTGGGGTGGAAATGATTTGAGTATGTTAAATGAATGTATGAATATATCAAGATGAAACCAATTATTCTGTCTAGGTAATATGCACCAAGAAGGACCAATTCTCCAAGAATATGTAACAATCCTTAATGTGTATGTGCAACAACACATCATCAAAATACATGAGGCAAAAATATGCAAGGAGTAATAGATGAATCCAGTGTTATAGTTGGAGACTTAAAACAGTCACAGCCTGCTCAGTTTTCGGCAGAGGAGAAATGGACCCACCTCTTAATGAGAGGCGAAGCAGCTTCACCTGCAGGATGGGAGACGTGTGGCCATGGGTGGAAAAATGCAACTGCCAGAGTGCATATTCTCATGTAGGCTGTGTGATCTTTCCTAGAGATTTTCCTCCCCATTATGGAACATTCTGGCCTCTCAGGTTTGTGTGTTCTTGGAAAGGTCACTTATTGTCTAGGCCTATGCAGGAGTTGAGATACTGTGTCTATAACTGCAGCCTCTGCCTGCAATTGGTGTGGTCACTGCTGCTCCACTGATTTTATGTTTTCCTGTGGTTTCCTTTAGGGATCAGTCTCCTCTGGAGTTCTCTTAGTCTAGGGCATCATATGAACCTGCAGTAGCAATGTAGGGTTCTCTTTTACTGCATAAGTGCTTTCGGAGGACTGGTAGGCATGTGATTTAGGAACAGTCTGAAACAGTATTGGGAGCCACTGTCCTCCTGATTCCTAGGTCCTAAAATCCTTGTCAGTCCCGGGCAACTTTCCTCTTGGAGGTGCAGCCGAATCGCCTTTCAGTCTGGCTTCCTTTGTTCCATCCCCCTTCTTGTGAATCCCTCCATCAGATGATTATCTCAACCCAATTAGGGTTGATTTTCCCTCTATGGAATTGAGTAGTTTTACGTGGATTGTAATATTTCTGGGCAATCTAGGTATTTTGGGCAGGAAAATTGGGCAGTTAGCAAAGCATATGGGAGAGGAGTTTGCCTAACTACGCTAATATACTGTGGTTTATGTTTCACTCATTGAGAGCGACTTCAAATCCAATCATTCAACACCAGTAAGTACAATAAAGAACTCATTGCGAGAAGCATTAACAAAACCTTTTCCCTTTCAATCATAAGTATGTGACAT